CATATTCCTGTCTATCAACATTATGATTTCACCCTCAGACCCCCAACAGTGATTTTAACAGCTTGCACAGGATGGGTAACCCGTTTTTATCCCTTCAATCCCGAGTGGGACATAGAGCTTTCAGCTTGGTATTTTCATCAGCGATGGCGTTATTTTACGGAGTAGGTTGCTAGCCTCACGCTCAACCTTCCATCTTCTCCGGGCTAGGCGAGGTTTAGGAGTGTATCCACTGGAACCTCCCCCGTGGTTGGCGAGCATTCTCCCATTGAACCACCGATGCACATAGGGGTAGCCACTTAGTTGTTACCCAGCTTACTTCTCGCTAATTGTAGGACTACCTTCATCCAGCGAAACTCGTTGGAGCATGGCACACTGCGAACCTGACCACCACCTCATCGCATAAATAAATCCACTTATGATTCAACGAGGTTTCAATGAGAAACCTGTCACTAATTGACGTATTTTTCCATTCGATCCGGAAAATTGTATTTAGCAGAAAATGAGTAGCTATATAAAGTGGAATTAATTTTCTGTGTTAAAGTAAACTCTATACGACACTCGTCTGCTAAATCTCACCAGTTTATTAATACTGTTATATTTCTAGATTGCTTTTTGTTTCAAATATATTTTTATGCTAATTAGTAAATACTAGTTTCCTGCTGTGTGTGTGTGTGTGGATTATTCGATTTTTATTCACCTTATGTTAAGTTTGAAGTTAATCCAATAAACGGTTGTGAAATTTACACTGTGAATTCTTTTTTTTTTCGTTGTGATTTTAGGAGCATTTCAAGCTGTGCAACATGTATTTTTAGTTGGTGTCGGTGGTAGTGTACCTCACGTGTACGAATTCGATAAGCATTCCCGTTTGGGTGATATTGTAGTTAGCGCTGTGCCTCGCTCTGCTGGCCTGCATTCACCTTCAACTAATGGTAATAATACAAATCATAATACAATGACGAATGGTGTAGAAGACTCTATCTACATTTACTGTGATCGTTTAATTGAACCGCCTGAAGATACTGTTGACGTGAAAACACCAAGATTTGTGTTGAAAAAATACGCTGCACGAGATTCAACTCTAGTCAATTGTGTAGAAAAGGTACTTGATCGTTTTGAAGCAGCTCCAGAGAAATGTGAATGGGCTCAAATATTGAATTCCACTTTAAGTGTATTAGGTGGGGAAGATGATCCTATTGATTTTGCTCGACCACCACCTGATACAGACAAGTTGAAATTAAAGGTAAGTCGTGAGCTCTTTTCTCAGAAAGTTATTAATTGACAGTCAACATCTGCCAAATGAGAGACTAGCCAGTGTAGCTACTGATAAGGTGTTTGCTAGCTGCATAAATTACTTCGGGGGACATTTTATTTACTGCTTTCTATTCCTTATAATATGAGCTGCTGGATGTATGTATTATAACTAAAATTTAGACACAATTAGGAGAATAATTCTCCAATGATAATTGTTTCACCATCTTGCATTGGGCAACTGAAAATCGAAGCATGCCAAAAGATATTGTCTGCACACAGATTCATCAAATATACTTCACTTTTCGTTTTCATATCGAATTGTGTGTGATATATATATACATCGCGCTTCAGGCCCTCGAGTGGAACCCGAAAGGAAAGCGGCGAGTGGGACGTCCAAGGGTGGCATGGAGGAGATCGTGTGAAGAGGAAGTGAAACAGTATGGATTAAGATGGATGCAGGTGAAAAGTACAGCAGAAGTAGTTGAAGCCCTATGTTCCACTAGGAACCCAAGGGGACAATAATAACAATATTCTTTGGAAGTTGCACATAGATTCATTCCCGAAATGGAGTTAAAGCCGTCATCGTATTTTCACATGAATGCGATTTATCATTTATTATTATTCCCGTGGGTTCCCAGTGGAACATAGGGCTTCAGCAACACATCTCCATTTCATCCTGTTTTCTGTAGTGCTCTTTAGCTGACTGTACGACTTCGCATAGACCTGCATCTCCTCTCCTCACAATATCTCTTTAATATCACCCTTGGACACACGTCTAACTAAGCGTTTTTTGTTCGGGTTCCACTCGATAGCCTGGTGTGGGATGTTACCTAAGGTGTATCCAATCTATCCCCATTTTCTCCAGTTTATTTAGTAATTAATTTGTCACTTACACCAGTAATAAAACTGACAGTTACGGTTAATTAGAAAGTGTAATTTGCATTTGACTGCGGAATCCCGTTTCGAAAAACTTCTCAGTTTAGCACATATGCAGAACAAGATAAAATCATTTTTTGCATGGACGAAATGCAGAATTAGAAATTACTTGACATCAAACGAGTAAATGTGCATAGCTTGTCACAGTCACCCTGTCTTCTTCACAAACTGTTGGTTAATATATAATGTTCAAAATGTGTTCGGCTAGATGTATTTCCACACACACACAAAACATCATTGACTACCTGATTGATGAATAATGTCCTACATAAAAGCAAGTAACTGGGTGTTTTTTCTCTTTTAAGAATCAAATATTTTTGTGTGTACAATAGATACGCGTCATAACTAACTAACTGTCAGGTGACATCTATCCACATTCCTAATTATGACAGTAGATGATTTGTAACATTGCTTGTGCTATACAACTGTTTTCATCGATCAACATAACTTCAATCGGTCATTGTGAATGATCAGACTGGAATTTTTCTTATTGATTATTATTATTATGTCTTGAAAGAGATTGTATGCCACTACGTATAATGTATATATATACTGAACATTACTTTGTTTGGTAGGACTGTGGTTACTAATATAACGTATCACATGAAGATATTATAGCATGTGTTGTTGCACAAATAAACCCTATGCAGTCTGTAATTAGTGATTTGCTAAAGTAATAAATAAGGCTGATCAATAAATTCTACACAGGTCTATATTTTTATCTTCTTCTAAACTATATTGGCATAGATCAACGAAGGTGTAACCTTTGATATCAAACATCCTGATGTACCTGAAGAATTGTCACGTTTCTATCCACCTGGTGTACCAGCTGTACGTCTCGGTTGTATGGGATCTGGTCGACCGGTCACAGATAACGACGCATTGAGGAATGACTTCGCCAAAGAATACCATCTGCTGTGTTACGATGCTGAATATGATCAGGTAGGTTACTTTTCACTTATTAATTTATTAAAACACACACTTGTTACTTTATGAGCATACAAGATCTCAGTTTACGCGACGAATGGGTCACTGCACGGGCCCGAACAGGTGATTGTCTTAAGAAGTCACCTCCGAGCTTTTGCCTTGAAGTCAGCCCACAATGTAGGGTAGCAGAGTTTAGACCTGTGTTGGCATGGTTTCTGGTGAGCGAAACAGATTCATATACCATTCAATCCCTTCGGATTCTCGAGCCATAACTTTAGAATCGGGGTTTTCCAGCTCTCCAAGGTAGACTTGTACGTCCACCAGTCCGGTTGTTAAAGCGCCAGACGTTCGCAAATGCCCTTTCACTTTTGTGAAGAACACCCTCGCCGTGTGAAGACAGTGAATAAGACTCATCTGGTAGAGGCTTTGAACACGTGAGCGCATTTCGAGAAAAGAACTTGAGTCTACCCACCCTCCTCCCTACTAGGTCCTTTATTACATTTACATACGCTGGAGCCTAGAAATCAACCGTAACTTCTTTTAACTATTCGTTTTCTCTGTTCAATTTCAGGTGTTGGAGTCAGTTATGGGAAATGGCCTTGACTCCTTTATTCTTATTCGTGGGATAGCCGACTATGTGGAAGGCAGACAAGGCACACAATGGCAACCGTATGCAGCACTTGCAGCAGCCTCTTTTATGAAGTCTATAATCTTACAATTACCATTGATTCCCTTACAAGAAGATTGATTAAAAACTCCGATTATCTCAAACCGCGATTGTTCATGCTTATGCTTCACCCAAAGACTTCCACCAAGTCAATGTTTATATAACTTAGAACGCTTTACCAGCTCTATCCTATCCATTTTGTACAGTTCCAGTATACACACCTCCTGCCCGAGTTTACTGCCTGATTAATTAGAAAACAATGACCTCTCTATGTAGCATTATTTTTGTTCATCTCATGGAAAGAAAAAAAAATTACTGCCATGTATTATATTAATATATAAGTATATTATAATTAATATCATCATTATCATTGTGTTTTGAAAATTCTATATGTATATGTATACTGAAGCCAATGAAACATTTTACAAGAATAAAAGGAATCAACATTAAGCTTGTTTTTAGTGGTAGAGGATGGGGTTAGTTGTTGTTTTTTATAGGGTTGATTTGGCTTGGCCTGGCTGGCTGGCTGTTTGAGGTGAAAGATAGAAAAACAAATCACATGTGTTTTTTAACAATTTGAGTATAGTTTTTTTTGTGGTTGCGAGTAACAGAGAACATGAGTAACTTTTGTTGAAGGAGAAAGTAGGGGGTAACAAATAAGAATGATTTGTTCGTAATCTATACTAGGCGTAGTGTATAACCTCAGAAAAAAAAACAACACTACAACTATGCTTGTATCGCATGAAACAGAGTTAGAAGCCAAGATTTTTTTTTTAAAAAAAGCATTTAAGTACTACTGCTTCACTCTTTGTTCTCAAAAAGAAAAACACAGTAATTCCTCAGATACATCTGGGCTGTACACTTTATATGCATTATATATATACGCGGGGGGGGGGAGGGGCAATTGAACAAAAAAAAAAACAAAGTGAGTTTTCACACTACTCAGAAAGACGCATTGTGATTGAATAAAGTTGTCAAAAAAGAAATTAGGGAAGTTAACCGGTTGTGTTAACACATGTACAAGTACAAGGTGGGCAATAATTTTCGGAACTTTGTTCATCAATCATTGAATTGTTTGTTTTTTCTTGTTTTATTTCCTTTTTAATACACCTATATATATATGTACGTATATATAAAAATACATAAAATGAATTTCTGATTTTTGCATAACAAGCGCCTGAGATGAATGGTATGAATAATGAAACTGTCAAATGCGTATTTAAATTGCAGCTTCATGTGAATTTGAACAATTGAACAACCATTCTTTGTAAATTAATGTACACACAATTGTGCTGTAAGAAATCAAACATAATTAATATATTTTTATATTCAAAGGTTTTAAAGACAATAAAACTGTTATAAGACTGATTTATCGTTTCAAATGATGATAGTAATGATAATAATTTTTAAAAAAAGCATAATACGAGTTCGGAGCATCATATTGCACCAAATACTAAATAGTGATCAAGTCAAGGCATCGTATAAGGTGAAATTGATAACATTTCTCCAGTTCATTTGAAATACAATACAATACAGGTGGGAAGGAATCTGTTTTGATAAAACAATTATTTACAAAACTACTGGAGATAAAGTATCCCAGGAAAGGATTTAACTAAGTAGGCTACTACTACAGAAAATTTTGGATGCTACACTTTACTGTTCAACTGACTGTATTGTCTATATTCCCGCTTGTATTTGACTATTATAGAAAGATAACTGCTACCATTTGCGACCAAAATATCAGATACTATTCTGATTCGCAATATGCGTGAGAACTAGGCCACTATAAAAAGATATTCAGCTAAGTCTCGAAGGATTAATTTTCAACACTGTTCCACATAACACAAGCCGTAGTGGATCACTTTCAAGTTTCGTCAAATTTATCTCACTTTGATCAACACTACTATTTTAGAGCGGATGGATGACTAGGCGCGTGTCAAACATGTGTCCCAGTGGTATATGAAAACTCAAACTTTTTCTGAAGCTCTATAAACCCTTCTGTTCCACCTCTGATAGCCAGGTCTTCCAAGCATAGAGCAGAATTGTTTGACAATACTGAAGTAAGGATTTTATCTAGTGCTGAATATAATGCCATACAGGCCTTCATCTGCTCTGCGGTTTCGCCAGCAAGTGGTTTATTAAGGATGACCTGACTTGTTAAATAAGTAGATCAGTTAACGCACCTCTACTTACTTTACCTTCGAAGTAGACATTAAATAAAATTTCAAGTGTCTTTTAACACAGATATTGCTGGAGACTTCCAGCTTGAAATACTACAGACGTTTTCGTCAAATAATGTTATTTTCTCATTATACAAAATTTGTTCTACCTTCATTCAATAACATTTTGGCGCTAGATGTTGACAAAGATTTTCGGAATGTGTTAGTGCACTTTATTCTGTGTGTCAGTATCCAGAAGATGAATTTCAAAATTAAAATTAATCCTTACTCGTGAATACTCAGTATGCCAATAAACTTACCCAGGGATCACGGTAGCTTTACATTAGGATGGTAGAAACTCTGCGCGACTGTGTCGCCAATCTGATGGACGTTGTCCACTTGAGCTAGAGAATGAGGCAGTGCTGCCTGACGACCCGCTTGCTATCCCTGATGTTGCGGAAATCCGGCTGGACGAGCCAACTACAGCAGCATTGTCAATACCAAGATTAGCGGTTTCAATGTCGAAAGCACGTAAAGCATCCGCATGACGTTCCATTAGCCGTCTCGTTTTCTTACGAGATTCTTCCTTCGTTGACTCAGCATTCTTTTTCATCTGTGGTAGATATTAAAGCAAAAAGAGATATTAAGATTGTTTTTAAGGAAAAATCAATGAGTGATCACCTATTATACTATACCAAGTTCACTCATATCCAACTTTTAATGTATGTAAATCTCGTTATCCCACTAAATGTGACAAACATTTTTTCTTTACGGTATAAAGAAATTGTCATACGCTGGTGGGTCTTACATTTTCATTTCAATCATATTCATACAGACCTGCTAGCAGGGATACTGAGGATATTAGCCAGGTTTATGTGAGGATTGTCGATACTATTCAGTTGCTCAAGCCTAAGTAGGTGGAGAGGAACTTAAGTTGTCCATAATCATAAAGATTAAAGTAACCTTATAGAGCGAAACACAATTCATCGAAAGAGATTAAAAAGCGCTGAGAGGTAAAAGTTTACAGATAACTTACTGCAGCTTCTAGAGATTCTTTGCGGGCACGAATTCTATTCTCTAAATCTTCCCTTTGCCGCTGGTGTTGTTTCAGCATATCACGTCGTTGTTTCTCCTGGAAACTGGATAAAATTTTCACTCCTTCTGAACGGTTCTCTTTAAACTCTTTATTTTCACGAGCATGTGATGATTCAACTTTACCCTATAAAGAGAAGAAAATGACTGAATGATTAGTCTGTGTATTAATATTCTACGACAAAATACTTTAACCGGTACAACAGTATACAGTGACTGTTGAGGGATTGGTATTTTGAAAAACCATACGACAGAGTTCAATAGTTCTTAAAGGAATGAAGAATACTAGAAGCAGGAATCACAAAACAAAGAATCATTAAAACACAAAAGATATTTCTTAGTACGAAGGACATATCATCATCAATATTGTCTTGGCGGTTATGGATTGTACCGCTCCTTAAAATATGTCACCGATAGGGAAGAAAGTTTAGGAATGTAGAAGGGAAACCGAATACAGGCAATTAAATAACCGACGATAATTTCCAAGTCAATTTTTCCCAACTCCAGCCAGAGCAGGAAATATTTTCGATAAGGATGGAGAAGATTTTTAGCTCTGGAAATACATTCAAGGGATGGAATGACACGCTTCATAATGCCACATAGCCCATGAGATAACACATTAAAACGTATGTCAGTCGGCAGGAAACACTCAGCGCTTAAAAACGAGGGAAACAAATAAAGCCAAGAAACTTGAAAGAAGTAAATTAGTGGTAAAGTATGCTGAATAATTTCTGCTTGATATATGTTGATAGGATACATTTACGTTAAGAAGCATCCTAAATTAAGGTAGAAGTTTTCCCTTCTAGCATTCAGAACTACGTCTTTCAGTATGTTGTAATAATTGAGATCATGATTTGATAAAAACGAGCAGTTTTTAAAAGCTGCTTTTTGGATCGAAATAAGTGCTAAAATATAAAACCATTTTTGTGCACAAGTGACAATAAGATCACAACTAGCCAAGGCATACACCTATCCAATCAAATCGCTAGTTTGACCATATAAAAACAGATTATGACAACGAATTCGGATACACAAGGCACTAGTATTTTCTATTCGAACTTCAGGCAGACAAAGAAAACTAAAGAACCCAGAAATCCAATACAAGATTATAGATCCGAATATTTCTAAAGAAATTACAGGGTCCAGCCATTTTGAAAAAGACGCACTGACAGTGATCACCTAGAGTATGATTGAAAGCTGTAGGCTTAAATATACCTGTTTACAACAGAATTATACTACAAGAATCTCTATTTCTTATCTCGTATACACATCATGAAAGTCAAAGTATTTTACGACAAATATTGCAGGCAGGAATGAATATAGTGAGCTAAGTCCGTGGATGACAATGTCTTTAGATTGAAACCACAGAAACATGCCGGTATTTTTAAAATTCCAAACCTAGTTGTCAGCGAGAAGGCATTTAAGTGAGATTCTGTACTTTATACTTCCGCAAAGTTAGTGGCAGCCCATGAGTTAGTTGTGACGGGTGGAGTTGAAAGGGATCCGAATCCACCAGCTGGAAGTCATGTGCTAAAGTCAATCAGTCATATCCTTACAGCAGTGTGCATCTACAACTCCACCGGGGATTGATCGCAGGACTCTCGGCTTATGAAGCGACCGGATAAATGAACCAATCACCGCAATAGCAAACTACACTACAGATTGCAATGCTAAACCTCAAAAAACTCTTTAGCATATTCAGTGGGTAGAGTTTAAAAATCTAAAACATCGTCACAATACTAAATACGTACAACGAGGATATTTATAAGTTTACAAGACTTAATTAAGGCGTTTTACAACATTTTACAGAATTAAACAAAAATTGGAATCCTACTAGCAACTTACATTTTGACGTTCATGTAATTCACTAATACTTTTATTATATTGTGCTTCTAAATCAGCTTGTTTACGCTTTTCTTCTAGTTTAAGATTCTCTAAAATTTGACGTTCATCTTGCAGATGCATAACCAGTTGACCCTGTAGATCAACTGACTCTGGACGATTATTAGAATTTGATGAATTCAAACCAGAGGACTCTGATGTTCCTGAAAATGATGATGTGCCTAACTCTGAAGACCGACGGGCTGCTTTTAAACGTTCTTCACGTAGCAGTTTGAATTGTTTCTTCTGAATTCTAGCAGCATCACGAAATTGTTTACGAATCTGCAACTCTTTTTGCTAGAAATGCACGCACGCACAAACAAAAGAAAATAGATGTAAAAATAACGATTTCATGGTCAATATATAAAAATGTTATACAATACAACTGTTAATGATGACATTGTATTATAATTCAGTTGGACTGTTGATGGTAAGAAAAGTTTTGAAGCACTTTTGACTTCAACAACTTGGCTAGCACGAAAAATAAACAAATAAGTATTGTTGTCAATAGATGTTAGAGTATTTACTTTGGGTGAGAAAATATAAAATTCCAAATAGAACTATGAAGCACTGTTATGCATTCATACATACATACATACGTAAAAACGTACATACAACGAACGATTTTGTACAAAGCGTTAAATCCTAACAAAAGTGTTTGACACTATTCACGCAACCTGTTAATTATAAATTATGATAATAATTTATTCCATGAATTCCAAGCTTCTAAATCCTTCAACTTATAAAGACGCGGTGAACAATAATAGTGGACCGACTGAATACCTACCATTTAGCCTGGAAAACACAAAACAGGTGTGTTATTCATCTTGGTGTTTAGTACACACACATGTCACATTAGCTAGTTTAATTACTTTTACACCAGTATCAAAGAGCTAAAAAGCGCTCACACACAAAGGCAGACAAAAGTTTCTACTGGTAGCGTATTTCATTTACACCCATAAATTTCAATCGTTATCACTGCTGAACTACCAAACGTCACTGACTGACTGAGTTTCAACACAGAAATGGCAGAAGTTCAAGTTACCACACTCCAGTTTCAGTTCGCTCTGTCCTCCTTTATGGTTATGAGACATGGTCATTGAAAGTGGGAGATATGAGAAGGTTAGATATCCCTGATCACAGATGTTCGCGTTCTATCTCCCATGTTACGTGGTATCTGTCTCTGTCTGGGTTCAATATAGAACTTGGCACTGAAGTGCAGCAGTTCGAGTTGCCACGTTCCAAAGAGCACACAAAGGTAGACAAGAAAATGAGTGAAGAGAATTAATAGAGTTTTGACAAGTATAAGAGTGAAACACAATGAGTAGTGGTAGAAAGGAATATGAAAGATTACAGAGACTGAATACATCTGCACCATTGACAACGATTTTGAGCCATGTCACCTATTGTCTCCAGCCATTGATTCGTAGAGTCCCGAGGGCCCCGACCCGGAAGTCTGCATCTCCCTACCTGACTCAGTTTAACTGTCAAGGATTTCATGGACTGATGCCATGTTTTTGTTTGGCCACCACTTTCTCTTTTCCAACCTGCACCTATATCAGCTAGTAATGCCCGTTCGTCGGGGGAGACGATGGTTAGGCATGCGCAGCACGTGACCTAGCCATCTCAATCTATGTAACTTTATAACCTCTTCGATTGATTTTCCCTCTTTGCCCAACACTCTACGCCTAACGTCAACATTACTTACCTTATTATACCACCTAACGCGAGAAAGAGATCGTAAACATCTGTGGTCAAAAACAGACAATCTCTTCATGTCTTCCGCTCTCAATGGCCACGTCTCGCCGCCATAGAGAAGGACGGAGCGAACTGCTGAGCAGTACACACGTCCCTTGGTTGATAACCAGATGTTACGTGGTATAATATAGTGAGTAATATTGAGATTATTCAAAGAGTGCTAGGTAGGGAAGGCAAATCAATCAATGAGGTCGTGAAATAACATTAATTGAGACGGCTAGAACACGTGTCGTGCATGCCGAGCCACAGCTGACATAAGGATGTGTTGGAAAAGAGTTAGGAGTGGTCGGAACGAAACCTAGTATTAAACCATGAAGTTTTCTACAATTAGTTTGAGTCCTTTATATTATGAAAACTACTAACTAGTGACTAGTTTCCACACATCAAGTGAGAATTCACGTCTATTAAATAAACATATACCGGGTTCGCTAATAGTCAGGTCAACATAAGTTTTTACATACTAAGTGGCCAGTCAGTGGCTCAACTATAGCAAATCACTAAGCATATATTATTTAACAGTTTAACACAAGAGCCAGTTTGCAGTTAATTATCTTAGTTTACTTTACTTTCATTTTTCTAATGAGTAATGTGTACGAAAGCATAGGTAGTTCTATAAAGTGTACTACTTAGTGATAGGAGCTTGCAAGTATATTAAAATGCGAAAATTCACACAAACAAAGTAGCGACTGAAGATTTAGGCAGCAGAAATACAGTAAATCGTCTACCAAAACAGAAAAAGAGAACGTAATAAACGAGGACCGCAATCAGATGCAGAACACGAACAGTTCGTGCAAAGTGGACGTTTACAGGGATTTAGGGTAAAAGTTGTTAGTATTGTATGTGATAAATAATTCTCAATCACTTCAGTTAGAGAACCATTGAAAACCAGGTTGTTCAGGACAGCCACTTTGTCCTAGTTTGAGATTCTTCAGAAGTACGCGCCCATCACCTCACCCGTGATCGCAACCAGGACCTCCAGATTACGAAGTGCCCACTCAGCCATCGGGACGGAGTACACTGGCCCATGAATTCTAACTACCGTCAATTTACGATATGTAGTGCAACCGTCAGCCAATACGACCGACCGGTTAATATTTGTCCTCGTACCCTCAACCTCACTAGTAACTGACTGCATAATGAAGTTGCCCAGAGTTGTAGTACTAAGTTATGACAAATGCGATCCACCTATTTGGATGCTGCATACTGTTGAAAGGTCCCAAGTTGGGACGAAACAGCTGTCCAGTACTCCGTAGTTTTCAGTGGTTCTCTAAGTGAAGTCAGTTCGTATTCTAGACTGAAGTCAATCAAATGCCTGTGAAACAACGTTTGAAAATTCTGCACCAGTTCTCAATATATTATTCTGTTTATTTTTAACTGAAAACTTTGAATTTTGCCTGATCAACGCTTAAATTTAATAGCAAGCGTAAATAAACAACTACATGGATTATACTTCTTAAGAAGCATAACTCAACACACTTATCAAAATGTCATACTTTGAAAGTGAGTATACTCCATTTGCAGTCACACATTATAAAAAAGGACTTTACTTAACAGCCCAAACTGTGATCTATTTATATGTAGTGAACTATTGTCACATCATTTCATGCATACATACATTCCATTTTCATCACCTTAGTGTCTGTTATTATCCATTATGTGAAAGTATAGTGATGACTGTCAATCTGGTGAAAATGCATTTATGTTATATCGTGTGTACATTGGCATACTTATTTTTTCGTAAAATATGTCGATTTTCAATAATATTAATAATACTTATATTTTGAATACTGTTTATACCGTGTACATAATTTTCGGAGGAAATTATTGCATAATAGTTTCACTTTGTCCAGGATCTTCAGGCAAAACGGTAATTTAAGTGTTGGTTGGTAGGGATTTGATTGGTTACAGATTTCATCATGAGCTGACAATGGTTAGAGAACCATTGGAAAACCTGTAGGGAGTACTGGACAGCTGTTTCATCCTAGTTTGGGACTCTTCATCAGTACGCACCCACCGGGGCTCGAACCCAGGACTTTCTGGTTACAAGGCGAGCTCGTATACCATTAAGCCACTGGGACCCGATACAATGGCCCATGAATTCTAACTTCTGCCAATTCACAACATAGCGCGACCTCTAGCCAATGTCTTCGGCAAGTATTTGTCCTTACACCCGACCTGCTGTACCCTACTAGTCACGACTTCTCACTAGAACCACAGGTAACTACTACCTACCTGAATAGGACAAGTCGCTAGTGAGCATCTCATCGATATTTAAATACCGACAAATACTTGCCCATGACATTGGCTATGGGTCGCGCTAGGTCGTAAAACAGTAACTGACAGAAATCCACCCACAATTTTGCTATTTTTCAAATTTACTGGAAACTTGTGAATTAGCAGATCGTAGATATTTTAAATACTCACAGGAGTATAAGACACCATTAGAGGTCATATTTTAATAGATTAAGACAAACTGAACAACAGAAATCACATGAAATATAATGATGGAGTATTTTGGTAGCTCAGGTTTCAAACAGACCGCCGTAGATAGTAGCGAGGATTTACAGCTACAACTGCTTATCCTGAGGAATATGACTATTTCATCTCCTTTGAGGTTCTATGCTTGACCGTTAATATTTTTCCGTCAGGTTGGTTGGATTAGTCGACCACCATCGCAAGATTAGAATTTCCAATAGTCCTTTTCATACGATCCAACTTCCAAGAAACAACTCTTATACTACACTATGCATAAACATGGGTCTATGGTTCGATGGTAAAATGGACCCTAACAATGCACGTCGCCTGGGTTCGATTCCCTGCCGATGAACTCCTAAGCCTTCCTTAGACAGTAGTAAGACCAGTGTAAAAAATGAAGGTTGGACGTGAGGCTAGCAACTTCACTCCGTAAAGAAACATCACAGTTACTGGTACTTCAAAGCCCAATCTTGAAGCTGTACATACCATTCGGAATACAAAGATGTAAAAGTAGAAATCATGGATAAACAAACCTTAAGATATTTGGGTAGATTTTTTGTTTCTTCACAATGTCTTTTCTGTATACCAGCTTCAATACGCTTAAAATACTGATGTAGATTTTCCATTTCAGCTTCATGTTGATTTTGTAACTGATTGATGCGTAAGTCTTGAATTCTTTTCAATTGATTGATTTCTAAATTCTCAAGTTCTGTGTGTTGCCTGAGTAAAAGTGAAGTAATCTCTTCGGCTGCTTTCTGTTGTAAACGTATGTACTGGCGTAACTGTTCCATCTACCAAAAGTCAAAAATAAAGCTTGTATAAATCCAAGTATTAATATATCAACAACAAGAAAATATGTATCTAGTATGGAATTATTTTCTACCACGGCGCCTAAATTTCACTTTTATAAAATAAAGGCTGCTTGAATTATATGGCAAAAACCTATTCAGCAATGAATAAAATTAACAAACAGTTTGTTATTGAATCTTCCAGTGGAAGGCTGGATTCATTTTAAATAAACACTCATCATTCTAATATAAGGTAATCCTTTTGATTTACCCAATAAATTAATATTCTTAAAATACTAACAGACATGCCCATCCAACAACAGTAATATAAAGCGGCCGGTAGAGATTCATTGACCCCGTAGAGGAAGGGCCCTCCAGATACAATTAGGAATGTTAATCTTACATATATAAGAATGGTTTTCTTAGACGTCGTCTATCTATCTCTCTCTCTCTTCACCAATGTTATACTGACAGAAACTACATGTGACTACGATCAATTCAATAACATTGATGTCGGCATACCGATCCGTTATCTGAACGAGTTATTATTCCGGTGCACTTTCAATGTTTTAGATTCAACAAAGAAATTTACAGGTAAATACATGAGGACTACTCTTGGACCACTGTTTTATGGCTAACCTAGACAACAATTTCTCATCCTTCAACTATCATCTCTACAAGAGATACATCGATGGTGCTTTCATTATTGGCTATCAGAATATGGAAAGCGGAAACCCACTCCAAACCTTCGACAATGCTCACGTAAACATTGACTCCACTCTAGAAGTTGAATTCAACTCGATGTGCAAGTACAAAGAAATGTTGATAACTCGCTCAGGAGACCCATCTACAAAAAGGTTACATGTAACGGATAGTTTATTAATTTCCAAAGTTCTGTCCCTCTAAGCAGAAAGAGGAATCTCAATGGTCCGGAAAATATGCACCAAGGAATCAATTGACGAAGAACCACGAAATGTCTGAAGTGGTTTACTACCCAGATTCACACGAAAAGACTGAAACAAGCGAAAACTGTTGAATAGGTCTATATTACCCCCCAAAGAGATCCTGCTGCTGAATCTTGACATAAAAAGTGATGTTGAGGCAGAAATTCTCTGGAAAAAGTTCTCAAAACCTCTCAATAAAGCATACTTTGCTGCCAGCTTAGGAGTAGCGTCTTCCAATAAACTATTCAACATGCACACGAAAGACAAGCGGTTGCACAGGGTCTTACCAACATGTATAAAGCAGTCCCCTTACTTCAGTGGAGCTGAGTACATTGGCCTTACCATACATCCACTTGTAAAACGCAGTCTGGAACACTATCTAGCCTCGCTAGCAAAAGAAGAACGTAGGTGTGTCTATAGCTCGGTAACAAAATATCTAGTGAACTCAGGAAACTGAGATGCATCACTATTTGGAAAAAAGTGATTATTATTCGTATTATTAAAAGTCCTTCGAATACAAGATCCGATCAAACTTCTCAGAGGAAGTGAGATAGTTGAAGCGCCAACAATCCGAAAATCCAAGCTTACACTATGTGTTCAAAAGAAGTACGTCCAACCTTTGTCTTTACCGTAGCCACCATGAACAGTAATTTTTTTTCAATAACGCCTCATTGCCTTAAGCATTCGGCTTTCAGCTTATTGTATCCCAACTTCGAGTCTGGCTTCACCTACTTCAGATCTGGGATAACTAAGTACCATCTTCCACCACCTTAACACAACACGTGTGGCTCTTAACCTGCTACATTAAAGATCCGTTCAGAGTAAGAGTTAAAATAAACACACAAGCACGTTAATATACTGAATGGAACTACACATTGTATATAGAGGTCAATGATATTATTTCATTTTCAATGACTTGAACATGTAAAACAGGTTTCCAAAATATGAATTAGTGCTTCAGTAGGAAACGTGTGAGTCAGTATATTAAATATCATTAATATTTGTCTGAGATTTATCACTTATGGAGTTTACTGTAAAAAGCGACACCCTACATCTGTAAAAAAAAAGTTGTAAAACTTAATAGTATTAAACATCATCTTCTTACCTCAATATCCTGCAACTGGGTCAAAAGAAGACGTTTAGTTTTACGAGTTTCAAGTGCAGAGACATCCTGACGTCTTTTACGAATAGCTTCTAGTGGATTAGAATGTCCACTAGAGTCTGAATCATGTGAAATAATCGAACCAAGAGCTGATTTTTTAGCCGATTTCAATTCACTCTTTGTTTCCGTCTCCAATTGACGTGCCAACTTTGATTCAACAGACATTGCACGTTTACGCTCCTTTTCTATTTCAGCAGCATGGATTTCTTCCAACCTCATGAATTCTTTTCTCATCACCAACTTTGTTGCTTCATAGTCGCGATTCAAGCGTGATTTGAGTGATTCTTCTTCAGCCTAGTCAAAGGAGACATAAAAGAGTGTTTAAAGAACTTGCAATTCAATGAGTTTTCTATAATAGCGTGACGTTATATGGTTCGATTATAACTACCTTATGTAAGAATGAAGCAATTCTTCCGGTAAAATAGAAAAGATATGCTACTTACCCTTTAAAGTTGCGAATAAATCTAACGAGTAAGAGCCATAACGGTAACTGACCACTAACACGAAATCGAGAAATAAGCCTTTAGTGCATATAACTGGAAAAACTTAAAATATTAAAAGAGTATCCACTGTACTTAAAAAAAACCTGAAAACATTCTATGTAATATGATTAAAAAAGCTATACAATACAATTGCCCCCGAGAATAACCTGATACAGACGAGGGTGAGTAGACTTCGGTATTCCTCTCGAAATGTGCTCATGTGGCCACGCGTTCATAGCCTCTTCTAGGTGAGTCCTATTCACTACCTTTAAGCGGCTAGGGTATTTCTCACAAAAATATAATGGCAGATACGAACGTCTGGTGCTTACAACCAGATTGGTGGATAAGCTGGTTTATATCAGAAGCTACAAAACCCTGATTCCAAATTTATGGTGTACATGGGCTGTAGGATACGAACGGATCGAATGGCGTAAGAACCTGTCTTCATCGCAGGAAGTCATGGGAACTGAGATCCCGACGTTGCTACATTGCCTTGTGAGTCAGACTTCAAGTCAAAGACTCACAGGTAGCCTCTTAAGACAATCGCCTGTCGCAGTTTGAGCTTCCGGGCAGTATCCAAGCCCTCACAAACTATGAGATCTTGTATGACGTATCTGTTGGTGCCCCCAATGTACCAAGTTTGTGTTTTAATAGTAATGAATACAATACAGTGATATTTAAACAATAGCAAAAATGCTTTACTGCTGTCACATAAATGGATGTATTGTGCAAAAACCAAAACGGAACGACCGTGAGATTTCATGAACAAAAATCCAAACTCAAACACTTGAACATTATAATTCCTATAAAGATTTAGAAAATTAGCAGCCTGAGAGTGTATAACAAAACATATGAGATTTCTAGTACTACGGATGTTTGTAAAGCAAAATTCATGTGTAAATTAAAAATGAAAAAAACTAAGAGAACAAATAAACGATATTTTCAATAAAATCTGCACACACCTTATTTTTGTCTTCCACCTGTTTCAGATGTTTATTATGTTGATTTCGTAATCGTTTGAGCTCATTCATTTGATCACGACAGTTGGCCATACCTCTGCCATAACCTTGTTGTGTAAAACCAAGGGCAACAGCAGCAGCTGAATTTGATGCATCCAGTTCTGACGACTGACCTCTCATCATTTGGCTAGTTTTCAGTGTTGCAAAATGACCAACAGAGGTTGAAGTCTCCTGTGGAGAACTTATCCCCATGGCAGCTAAACGAGATGTTTCAGCAACAATACCTGAATCATTACGGGGAGAGGTAATTGAGAGTCGATTGAAATTCTCACTTCCTGTTTTAATAATCTGAGTCTTTGTCGGTGTAGCAGAACATCCTACAGCTTCAGGAACAGAACCTTTCAAGGTGAGAAAAAAATGCATTTGCTAAAACAGCAACGAAACAATAAATGATTTCAGTATAACGAAAATTTCCACTTAGACATTTAGAAGAGAAAAGGATTGAGAGAAATATCTTACTTTTCAGTTTAGTTTGTCTTCTACATATAGCTAAGGCCACCAGAATCCACCTGAGGTAGCCAAACCTGTGTATTCAGATGAAATTTATGTAGCTAATCTCATTACCTTGGGCCATCATTACATGAATGTAAGCAACTGACAGTTTTTCTCTTCCTCTAGGCCTTTTAGAAGTTATCATTGCTCTAATTATTTTATTATTCTGACTACTTTATCTTTAATTGTTTATTACGTCATCAGTTTGGACATTAATGTATTTCTTAATGACTCCCTTTATTTTTTTCCAATTTATGCATTATGTAATTTTTTTACGAATGACTATACCCTTTAACTATTGCGTTATCACTTCCTTGAAACACTGATATTGACTAATTACTGTTAACAAACTTATCACTATCAAATTGATGAATTATGTATTGTGTTAAAATTGCTATATGTAATTAGAGTAGAACCATAGATGAGGAACTAATCAAAAAATAACTATTTTTTCGATCAACTATTTTATCTTCTGAATAAGTGATTTTATTGTTTAAAAATGTCTCTTAATAGTTGACTGTGTGAAGAAAGTACATTGAATTAGTTAACCTGGTGCTAACTTCATGCAAATGAATGAACTTTTCAGGTGTTGTTGATTTACTTATGTACATCGAATATGTGATATAAGCAAATAACTACGATTAAGTTATCATATATATAATAAGAAACATGTCATGAAAAATAATAAACTACGTAATCTAAAAATATCAATTGATGAGTATCGCTTAGATACGATTACTAATACGACTACAAGAGCTTAGAAACGGAAATATTGTTCAAAAGAGTAATTTTAATACCACGGCCTTAAGCTTTTCCTTTTTTAACTTGTAAAATAATTTGTTATGTAGTCCATATTCATTTGGTTGTTCCCTCTTGCTCTTTCCTTTCAAACTCTTAACTCTAAAATATCCTCTATGAATACTCTGAAACACTTACTCTTGAACAATATTCCTGTTTTCCAAGCGCTTCTAGTTCTAAGGGTTATCGTATATAAAATGAGACTGTAAATTCTGGTTCAGGTTTGACCACGGATTGACATCAGTTAGAGAGTCATTGAAAACCAGAGAGCACTGGGCAGTTATTTCGTCCTAGCTTGGGACTCATCGGCAGTATGCACCCATCGGGGTTCGAGTTCAGGACCTTCCGGCTACAAGGCAAGCTCATAGGCCATTCAGCTATTGGGACCCAGTCCAATGGCCCATGAATTCTAACTTCTACCAATTCGCGATTTGAGCACGACCACCAGATAATTTCATTGGTGAAACAGCTGGTTTTCAACGGTTCTCTAATTGATATTAATCCGTAGTCAAACTTGAAACATTTCAGATTCCTACAAAAATAAGTTTTGGAAATTTCGGTTCCCTATTACTTTGAAAAAACTATCAGCAGAACTAAAGAACTAAGTGTCAGTAACAATAACATCGATTTGCTTCGAACCCCCATTTGCAAGACAATTTCTAACAATAATAGACCATTCCCTTTACTCACATAGGTTACAAGTATGTATGTTATATAGTGCTTCCATAGTTGTTTGGTATCTTCTGAAACTGAGAATACACGTAAGTCCCACTATCAATTGAATCATTTTTCTAATGATATCAGAGATAGTGATTACAACAAGAATTTATTTATTGTTACACTCATACCTAATATTTAAAGAACAAACGCAGTTAAGAAAAACGCACAGGTAGCCCACCTAGCAAATATTATAGAACAACTTTTATTGACAATAAATTTATGGTTATATCCAGACACAGAGCATACACATTTTTCAATTTTATTTTATGATATTTTTATATTTGTAATCCTTTGTCTAATAACTGTACTATATACTTAATTGTAAAGTAAACTATGTTAGCAATTAATCGTTTACGATAAAATTTAGAAAAACAAAGATAATCACAGTTTTAAACTCACCATGATGTCCTCCTCCTCCTGAGTCATTATTATTACATTCCACTACTATCGAATGATACACATGATTGTCACTGTTGGAGTCCATATTAGCATACAAATGACTATTGATTTGAACTGGACGGGAAGTCTGAGGATGTTGCGTTACACTTGAGTCACCTGCACTCAATCTGTGTGCAGTCGGTCGATTAGACACTGGTGATGGATGCGCGCCGTTAAAATCAAATGAACCACCATGTCCACTATCCGGGTCAAATGTACGCGACTAATGTACAAAAAAGAAAGGACAATAAATGCTTAAACAACAGGCTACAAAAAAAACCTGTAAACAGATGATATCTACACATATTTTTTCGTAGATTCCTATCACAATACAAGCTTAGTCCTAGTGATTTTGTGAAAACGTACTTTAAGCGTATGAACATGAGTGTGAGAAAATTGAGATTAAAAAGTGGGAAAGAAACTACCAAACCAAGGTATGAAGTAACCTGCATACGCATAAAACGATAATTAGCATAGAAAATTACCTTGCACTATAGTATTGTGCTTCTAAATATGAAGCCAAACAATCACCAGGATCACGGTTGGATATTTACACATGAGTTTTGATAAGTACTCTCGTATGAAGGGATTTAACTGTTAAGATTTCATTATGTTCTTATACTAACGTGATCAGCTAGCTGTCAGTTGTGAATAACCCAAACACAAGAACGAGAAGAAAACAAGGGATCATTACTAGAGGGAGTTTTTATTACTTTGACTGCAAGTGAGAAAATATGTATGCATTACACATGAATCTGTTTAAGCTAGAGTATTTGCAAAAAGGGAGTGTGACGGCCTTTAGGTGATTGGTAAAAATGCAACTTAAGTCATAGCTAAATAGAAAGGATGAGAAACGGTTGCTCGAGATTTAGAGAAAACGTTCATATGGATATAAATAGTTTAGGGGCTTCCAACAGTTTTAACGAAATGCGGTACGTTCTGAGCAGTTAAATTCATACAATAGTTACTTGTCAGAAGAAAAGAGTTTTGTAGTAATAAATTATCCTGATTAATTGTAAAAATAAATTATAATTGAGAAGCAGGGTCTTTATTTGAATTAATGCCAATTTATTGGTTTGTTTTTAATTGTTCAGGTTATCTGGAATGATGCACAGCTGCGTGAACTTTTTATAAATGTCCATAATAAAGCTGTCATTCTAAAATATAATATGGTTGCTGAGATTATATTGTACTTCTTACGTGGTTTTGACTGACGTTTCTTGTATTGGTGTAGCACAAATTTTAAACTCATCAAAGATCAAACGGTAGTACAGTACATCATACAAGGCGGTTTACAACAATTTATAGGGATGTTTATCTCCAGAGCGTTCGGAAACGTACCTTTGGTAAGGAGGTTCTTAGGAGCCTGTACATTTCTCAAATGTGATAAAGAAAAAATACTGGGCTATAATTATGGAAGAATCACGATAACGCGGTGACACAATCTTAAATCACTTCGTTCGCTAAACATAGTAGTAAGATGTATAGTACTATTAAGGCTGTTGCAAGGATGCAATGGCTCAGAACGGATTTCTCGTGCGAAAGGCTATGGGCCACACTCTACATTGCGAGGGTCGATGATACTGTCCAGTTGCTCAGGCTGAAATAGTTGAAGTAGGAGTCGAACTTAGGAACCCTTTGGCTGTAAGTTAAGTATCAATGAGCGACATTTCTACTATTGCGGCTAATACACCAGATAATCCTATTCAGTTGACACCTCGAATTTTGAATTGTCTAAATACTTAGCAAAAGTATTAGAAATGTTCAAATATGAGTTTGAAAACTCTTATCAACAGTGGCATAGATTAAATGATGCGCATTTAGATACCACGAGATCAATTTCAGCAATAGTCCATCGAAGGTAGTTGGAATAATGCTCAATTTAGATTCCAAACTCATCCTTGAAACCAAAATACGAACATATAGTACAATTTCCACTTCTGCAACAAAATTATGGTATGGAACCATCAGTATTCTATGTCAAAGCAAACGTAATTGGAAGACGACAATTCATGAGGCTTAGTCGATGGACAAGATAATATCAACAAAGCAAAACATTAAGTGTCTGATAGTAAAACTCCAAAAGTGTTTAACGGAATAACTGACCAGATGAACGAAGGTGATGAACAGGACATAAGAATCTGGTGTAGGTGAACTCATGCTTGCGTGAATTATTAGTCATACCAGCTTATAAGGAAGATAAATTTTTAGCGATGACAGTAGAGCGACCAGTTAGTCTCCATAGGTATGGATGCTGATGAAATTACAGTAAGGATACAGAACACTGATCGATATTGGCAAATCTGCACTATTCATCGAGTAACATGTGTACTACTCAGCAGTATAACCTCTGTGAAACATGACGAATGAAGTTAGAAGTGAAAAGGTTACATATCTATGATCCTAGATTCTTCTTGTTTCACTGATCATGCGAGTTGGAATCACAAAGTAATTTACCTTTCAGATTGGACTGTCCCCTAAGGTCAGATTTCAATTACCAAACATATCAAAATCATGCTAAATATCCTTAGTGCTCCATGAATAAGTCCTCAAGCAAATCCCTATTCCCAGCTTTAAGCATTCGCCACAGCTTACAATTTATTACACGAAATGCTGTACAGTTTTTCATACTAATATTCATCACATAAAAATTTGGAAAGAAACCAAAGTGACCAGTCGATCCTAGTAAGTTAATAAAATGCATAATTGGAAGACTAGTTTAAAGTAAGCTGGGTTCTGTAACTTATTACAATTGAACAATAGTTGATTTCATAAGTAAAAATAAACTTACGGGTGAGTTATCAGTTGAAATTCCAGATACAGAATGTTTAGGAGGTATGTACACATGTCGTTGACCAGGACTATTGCCACTATCGGACAAATCACTGCTCGCGCTTTCCACGCTATTGGAACAACTATCGCCCTGCATAAAAAGGAAATATATACACATAGTAGTATTACTATTCACTCAATGTGTTTCGAGTGGAACATAAGGCCCCTAGACGCAACGTTGCTTAAAGATTTTACAAGGAGTTACGTTTTTAAGTTCACACATGAGTTATAATGTAGAGCAGCTCCAAACGGTAAGTATTTGATTATTGTCAAATAATCTACTAATTTGGACGTTTTTTTCGATAATTACTTAACAGCACCACTATAACAACTATGGCTGATTACCTTACACAGAGATAATAGGCATAGTTTGAGAAAAGTGAAGTGTATGCAGCATTCCAATCAAAGGTTTTCAAGATGCTTATTCAATGATGTACAGAGTCAGTCATGACATAAAATGACAAACCAAAGTAATGATAATAGTCACATGAATGGAATAAATGTTTACCATTAAATTTGGTACACAAGATGTTAACTATCTACCACAAGACACCAGTGCGTCAATTCTCTAACCGACCCCATAAAATGTTGGGAAGTAAGAATCCACTTTATTACAAACAAAACGTCTTACAGAATCTGAATAAGTCGACGATTAATCAAACAAGAGAAGAACTAAGGAGTGCCACATAAAACATGTACTGAAAACTGTAAACGCTGAAATGCACAAAAACTACGTTACTCCGATGAAAAATTTTTAAAAGCGGTTTGACAATGGTAAAAATATCTGAAGGCTCGTATACTCTTAGAAAACTAGAGCACCGTTGTTTACACACCATCTGCACCATGCACTGCGGAAACTAATTGATGATTCATGTTTTAATGAAAACGGTAACTATCATGCATAATTACCACTGTTGTCTTGATAACTGATGGTCTACTGCTATCAGGGAAACAACTGAGACCTTTCTTACACACCAGCCAAGATAAAATCATCTTTATCTTGCTGTCTGTACATTAAACGAACGAAACTAGTAACTATATCAGCAGATCTGTGATTTAGACTGCTGGCCATGTTTAATGAGGTTAAACAATAAATCACTACACCTTAAAAGAAAAAATAGGTTGGACATAATGACTATACGATAGACCGATAAATATTTTAAAGATTATTCATCGATTACGAAACAGGAACCAATCGCCCAACAAATATGCAGGAGGAAGTGGCGATGGATTGGACACTCGCTGAGGAGGCCGTTGAGTGACATCGCGCGTCAAGCCCTCGAGTGGAACCCGAAAGGGAAGCGGCGAGTGGGACGTCCAAGGGTGACATGGAGGAGATCGTGCGAGGAGGAGATGAAACAGTATGGAATAACATGGACGCAAGTGAAAAGTACAGCACAAGACAGAAGCAAGTGGAGACGTGCAGTTGAAGCCCTATGTTCCACTAGGAACCCAAGGGAACAATAATAATAATAATATTCATCGATTTTAACTCTACCCCATTAATACATCATTTTAATTATCTTTATTCTTATCACATGATAAATATTTGCAGTTATAACCTTGGTATCTAGAAAAGTCAGAACATTTTAGATCATTACCAACCACAGAGCCGTAGATATATTTCGTAAGCACGTAAAACTGTTTTAAGCCCAACCATATCTTATAAAATCACTTGACTTAATAATCTACGTGTGATTCGCCTCATGGTTAACACATCATGCAAGTGTTGTCTCCATTGCATATCATTTTCAAAGCAAAACAATCATTTATCAAATCACTTTTTGCCTGGGACAGGTAAAACGGTGATCTACAGCTTATTCTGCCAGAAAGATGATATCAAGAATTAACAAACTTGGCCTCCCACTAAAATGCTTAAAAGCTAATCCTAGAGCATAAACTTTGGATGTAATTAACAGTAATGGCTGTTATGTGCTAGACGATTAAGAAATGACTTTGCTGCGTTTTTAGTACAAGGTTAAAAAAGATGAGAAATGACTTACAGCCAGATATTCGACATCATCGTTGATAGAACTACTATCATGACTGATATCCTCATCAACACATCTGCTAGAATCCCGCCTTCTGGTTTGGTTAGATCCTTTCCTTAAATCATGTCGTCGTAAACTTCGCTCTGGTCCAGCCACGTTTGATCCCTCATGAGATTGTCTAAGTAGGCCAGAAATAAGGCGTGGCCTGTAAGAATTTCGTACGGAAACCTCTACTTCAGTACTAGAATCGTCGTACACAAAAGCAGCTTGTCTGCAAGTTGGACTTTCCTCACTGGTTACAACTGAAGAGGAAGAATGATTTAATTCACTTTCATAAAGAATCTTTTTCCACTTTTGACTGATCTGATTTTCTTGAGCAGTTACGGCAGCTTTGGTGCGTTGAATTAACTCAGGAAGAATGTGAGTGAAACGAAATACATTAGCTAAAAAAGGATGCGCCATAGCTTGAGAACAGAATGGTCTTTCATTCATCTACAAGGCAAAACAAATTACTTCAGTTAACCGACATTAAACATTACTAATGTGAGTTAAATAAAATCTCTTACCCACTGGAACAAATAAAAAACGACCTGATATCGAAATATGTGAAGCATTATGAGTAACTGACTAATTGATGAATAAAAGTATGACTTTGCACAGAAGCATTCTACGAAGCTTTTAATGGTTAAGGACTGTTAAGCTACTATAGGAAATCCATCTGTCACTAAAACACGAAGCTCCCATTTTCAATAGCACTTAGTGCTTTTTATCATTAGCAGTGTTTGTCACTGTTTTATTCTTGTCTTCGCTATCTACCACCAGCTGTTATATAGTTTAGCTCTTCTTTACAGTAAATTACTCTACATTGCTCCTAGGTTCTTTAGGAGGAAACTCCAGATTGAGCGACTGAGCCTTGAATAAACCTATCTTTACATCGCATCAGACTCTACGTTTCTGAAGTCATGGAATTCACACTATGAGGTTGAAACATATATATGGTTATGGGCTTTACGTGGCTAGGATTCAGTCTTGAGAAACAAAACGTTTTTCAAATATCTTTTTGTAAGGAAAATTATTAGCAATACGACTGAATTGATCAATTCAAAGTAAGCATCCAAAGACTTGGCGATTGATAGGGATTCCGTAAATAAGTCAATCCATCAGTGGTTTTGAAGATTCTTACCCAGCCAACTTTTAAGTTGCTTTAGCTTACTTTATGTAGAATAGTCGAAAGGATACTTGTTACTACGGCATGGCATTAAGGTTCATATATCGCACCGGTTCAATGAGTTCAGATGTCTAGAACGACCACCTCTAAAGATCCTAGCACTCGAGAAAGACCAGTTGGATAATGGTAAGACTAAATGCAGTAATCGTCATTTTGTTACAGAATTATGACAAGGACGTGAGAGCAAAGTCATTTAGCTCGTGTAGGGACTGCTTTATAGGGACAACCACGAAGGTGGCCTTGATGCCTTACTATTCTGAAGAGATTAGAAAAAGTTGACTTCAGAACGATATATCTAGACTTCATCAACAATGATACGGTTCTTTGCATGGAAGTGTTTTAAAAATTAGCACACAGAGAACTCTTGAACACTGTAGCTAAAAAAAGGTAATCTCGTGTAGAGGCACAACAAATACAAATCACCTTTTACACCACGACTAGTCGCCATGTTTTAATTATCAAGTCTCGTTTGAAAGTCAGTCGTATTCCTTAAGAGTTTTGAAGATTCTTTCCCATCTCTCCGCCAAGAAATCTACAATGATGTTAACTTCCTTTCTTACAACCTGTCCTAGGGAAATGAGTTTAATTTACCTGACGGTACACCTGATACGAGTTTTTAGTGCTTGCATACTATCAAATCGGCCAACAAGCACTACATGAAAAATCCCTAGTATTTCGCATCATGCATTTCTAGTACATCTGAGAAACACATACAGCATCCTAATAAACATGTTTGCATCTGAAGACTAAAGAAAACGACAAGTTGAGGACTTCAATGAAGTCACTTAGATGATAATGTTAAACCAGAAGAAATAATCAGATAGTTTAATTGGATAAGATAATGTTAATCGCCCTGAAGACACCTGGCAACACTCCTTATCTGCTATCAGATACTGTTCCTAGTCCTTAGGAAACAGAACAAGAGGATGTACAAACGGGCATTCTCTAAAATCCTAGAGATCATGATGTCCAAAAGTAACTTGATTGTACACTAACAAAGTCGACACTGAATCATAGCTGAGGATCAACAAATTCAAGTTTCAGATTTGGCTTAGCGTTCATTAACTAGATATTCACTCCTAAATGGATCTTGGAACACATTTATCTAGTTATTTACTATCCTGAAGGCGACACTTCATTGATTGAGTTCTATGGGAATATCTTTTAATGAAAAAATATATTTAGCAAGTGCATCTTTTTATCGAAAATGAGCAGAATAATAAGTCATTTTATTCTATTGAATGTTGTCAACTGCGTGGAATATAACATAATTTTAGTATTAACATACAGAAGTTTGACATGCTTTAGGATATGGATACCTTGTATACTAATATTAAGATTGTTTTACGTTGTACACATTTGACGATAACCAAGGATATAAATTGTTATATCGTCCCGCTTAACTCATTTCTGGTCCTTTTAACAATGTCCAGAGGAAAACTGTAGTTTTCTGATAGTTAACACTCGAATACAGTGGCGTTAGAGTGCACAAGGGATATCCTGGTGTCTACATTGAGTGTTTGCCAGGGAGGTCCAATTTCTCCATTTTTTAAAAACATAGATATCTAACTTTACTGACGGTGGCCTCCTTAGGACTAACATCTTAACTGAATTAGAAAGTATATACGACTAAGAACATCAATATTTATTGGACCAGAAAGTCACTACGAATCTGAGGTACTCTTTAATTACTGTAGAGAAAAACATAATTCAAGGAATAAAAGCTGGAAGTAAAGAACGACATCACATGCAAGCACTCAATGGAATCAGTACAATACACCTATTTGAAAATTCAAAGACTTACATCTTTCTGGAGGACAAACTGCACAAAATTTCGAAATTCATCAGACCAGTTACCTCCGACTAGTCTAGGGGCATCATTTGAAGCGATCTGATAAAGAGCAGCCATAGGATTAGTAGCACTGAAGTATGGAGGCTCCAACTCCGCTAATATATAATAATGAGAAGTGTAGGAGACCATGCTTTAGTATAAAATATCTGAACATCATGAAATTACTGACACCAATAGGTGAAAATATCAGGTATTCTAAGCATAAACTTTATGCATGCCCAGCTACTGCTTTCATTGGTGAGAAATGCTAGCTGAAGTAAAATTAGGCTGAAAAAGATTTAGCAATGGTCAGGTCAGAGAGGAATGTAGGACATTTCTTTTTTCTATGTTTATGTGTACTTTTCTGAGATGTGATAGTTTGAACTGCTGCACTTTTGAGCAGAGCTTTATGCTGATAAATCATTCTGCTACACATCTCAACAAAAATTTTTCTTCACACAGACGAAAGAAATGGCAGTGTGTACGTATAATACATTTCTTGGTTTTTGTAAACAGGCTTATTGCTTGAAATAAATACATGGTGCATGCGATAGAAATAATTCAACATCCACTGCGGACATTTAGAACACTGCACTATACACTAAAGAAATACTAAGAGGGGGTTTGCAAGTGGTGTGATCATCATGGTATAATTATCAGTAAATATTGTCCTCGAAATGTCGTTCAGTACAAAATAGGGAATCAGTGTACCACATTCAGTGCACAAAAGACTTGATAGTGATTCTTTTTATTTGACTTAATTAAGTATATGACAACTAAAAGACTACTCCGAGTCTGCATTAAGGTAGAAATTAAGTAGAAATCAGCACAGACATGTATCGGTCAAGTCATCAAGCTTATAAAAGAAAATACAAAAAACAATAAAAGTATGGCACTACAAGGGACAAAAATGCATATAAAAGAGGGTAATTTAATAGGGATGTTAGGAACTTCATAGGGCTAGAATAAAATACATCTGCACTATTTCCACAAATCTTCAAATTAAGGATCGTCTCACACAAGCCCTTTAACACCACCCCAAACGTCATACGTGAGTAGGATATAAAAATATAATCAGTCTCATCCGTGGAGTCGTAGGAATTCTGTATTTCTTAGCGTCTTCGCTAAAAAGTAGTATATCATCTCTACGTTGTTTTCCTACCAGCCAGTATATTCTTGAGACGCTAAAGCCAACGGAATGTATAACATATTCAAATAAGGACAGTGATGTTGATGTTTTTTATTATAGCTTGATTCCACACTGTATTTCTGGTACATGTATGGAATTTTCAGCATGTGATATCGATAGCCCAAATTTAGCAGGCCGACCATTGATATTAGGTGTGCGTTGGTTGGGTATCGAAACCCGGACCATGTGCATGGTCGGCGACCGTCCTAACCGCTGTGCCACCGACGCACAAAAGTGCTAGTTAATGCACTGAGCGACAAATCTGCATCGGTTTTTACCACGCCTGTGAGGGTTTGAGTGTCTTCATTAACATAATATACTTACGATATACTCCCTTCATTGTCAAACATTGCTACGACACTTCTTGCTAGACGTCACATGCCGCCATTGTTCCAGAACCTCTGGAAAGGTGAAATGGCCGGTAAAACCCTTGTTTGATCCTGAAAACCGTTAGGTTATTTCGTTTCTTATTTGAAACCTACCTAATTTTCGTAAATAGAAATTAACTTCTCAAATTTGTGTACCAATACTAGTTTTGAGGAAATGTTAATTTTAGTCCAGTCCGTTATGGAATTTAATGTCCTACACTTCCCAGACTTTCCTCGAATTAGCTATACAGGCTAAAAGTTAACTTCGAATAAACATATTCCATGAAATCATTTATGGAAACGTTCTGAAAGTACACTAAAAGAAAGAGTGGAGCACACTTAGGAGCCTAGGGATCCAGAAACTTAATTCGTTGTAACTATACTGGTATATATATATATATATATATATATGTATATATATATATAACCAGTTATTTGCTTGTCATTGTAGAACAAGGTTTCAGCCAGAGGATACATCAGAGCAGTTGTAACTAAACATATTCGTGCACAAATCTGAGGTATAAATACGTCTGAAGGCTGCAGAAAGAGAAAGGTACAACAGTTATGAGGCAGACTAACCATGAAATAGACTGAACCACACCTACTATTGAGCTGAGGCTGATGATATCACCCAGTCTCACAGGCTGAAATGGAAAAAGTGAGGTTAGCGTCCGGAAACACTTTGGTTGCTAGTCGAGTGTTCAAGCCAATAAACCGCATCTTCACAGATGTAACTGAGGTAGACAGAATAAGGTTCGAACACTCAATCTATAATTTACAAGTAGAAAGTACTTACTTGGGGAAGGCGTTCGCACGTGAGCATTAAATAACACCTGTTTCAATTTGCTCATCACTATATTTGCAGTCACTTCACTAAACCGAAATTGATGCGCCATTCAGTCAGAAACAGTAAATAGCGTACAAAATCTAGTTCGTAACATCTACACAAATAAGACTACTTTCAAAAATGATGACTAGAGGAAACAAAATAGGGGAATGTATTGATGAATTTTTAGCTGAGGAAGGAGTACTGTATACGGAATGTAATAGATTAATTGAACATTGTCCAGGTTTTAACCCGAATTCTACGTTGATACCAAAAATATTATGCTGAACATGAACTAACCCATTTCAATGCAAGTAATTCCTAGTGACCAAACATCCACTCGTACATCGTATATGCCTTGTTCCATAGCAAGAATAACTTCTGGAGCAATCCAAAATGGTGTCCCAACGAAGCTGTTGGCTGGACTTATGAAGCTAGCTGACCCAAAATCGCCAATTTTTACTCCACCAGAGTCGGTAAGGAGTATGTTAGCCGCCTTGATATCTCGATGGATCCTTTTTTCGGAATGAAGATAATCGAGGCCAGTTAGTACTTCCTGTACAATACAGGCAATTTCATCCTCTCGGAGTGGCTTTTTGTGAACTAGCGGATCATCTCATTAGAGAATGACAAGTTACCTTCTAAAACATCCGCAACTGAGCCTATGCAGTATTCCATTACCAACTATTGACAAGAAACATGAAAGAATATATTGAAGACGTACCCATGGAGTTTGCTCCTTCATGTAACATCCCTTGGGTAAAACGCAATTTTTGTGAGAAAGATGTGAGAGAAATTTAATTTCTCGAACAATATCATTCCACTCTTCCTCCGACTTTTTACGTTTGGTGTCAACCTTCAGTTCTTTAATAGCTACAACTTCACCAGTCGTACGGTTCCGAGCCTGTATCAATCAAATAGTATTATATAGGAGCCTACATAATAAACTGCTCCGAAGCTTCCACAACCGATCTGTCGGAAGTCTGTAAACACAGTCGTTGGATCTTGGTGACTGAAGTATTTTGACAACTCAGGGTCTTTGAAAACAGTTGTTCTGAGAGACTTAGGCATTTAGTTCTCATTCGTTTCGAAAATGTCAATGTTCTAGGCTGGCGTCATTCAGACTTTGTAAATATAGGTTTCACTACCCTGATAACAGTTTAGAAGAGAAAAATAACCACGGCTTTTGCTGGAACTAAAATCATTGTAACAGTTCGTCAGATGTGTTTGGCGGGCAAATGAACAGACATTAGGGTATTCCTCATACTACTACCAAACACAAAGAAGATGAAAAATTTATATATCTACAAATAACCATAAGCTGTGAACAAAGAATATCTACTACCTTTAACTGTTTGCACACCTTATATCATAGCTACTATGAACCATTGATAACTGAAGCTGTGATTGAACGTTTCGAATCAGTTTTAAACCTTTAGGAAGCATTCAGAATCACATGTTCTGAATGAATAGCATACATGACAGTCATGTACCGAACGATTTTTCGTGGATGACAGGATTTTTGAGTGGTTATTTTCCTGTGATGTTAAATATAGAACAGAAACAGCTAAAGCAGGTGTCTATTCTGGAAGAGATCAGCAGATGTGGAAATGATGAAGGATAGTGAAGTAAACCCAACTATCAAAAATTAGGAACAAAGGAAGCGGTGAAATAATCACTTCACATGACTCTCGAATCTATCACCACCTGCAGTTGGTTCAAGAATACCACCAACCGATACGAATACCAGTACACACACACCAACAATCCAGTAAAATCAGATGTCTCCAGAAGGATGAAGTTGCTCGAAGCTGGGAATCAAAAGAAGCTCTGAAAGCGAGCAAAAAGACTGCAAGGGTGTGAACACTTCACTACTTCAGAAGCAAAGTGTTGCCGAAGACACAGCACTTTTGGTGAGGTTCCAAAAATTACTGGAAATTATCCCCCTGGCACGCATAACGGCAGAAGCAGTTGGTGGTAATAGCTTTACACTTTATAATCGAGGTGTGGTTAGTGAAGCCTGGTACTTGGAAGATACGGGTTTCAAAGTCAGGTGCCTTCCTGACACGGAGGCGAATTGCCAGAAGAAATACGTCTCCATCTTGCAGCCTTCAAAGAGAAAGCCTGTTGCAACCTTCGGGAGGGGATATAGCTATTTAAATATAGGTAAACGCAAACCTATTCGGTGGCTTATCCATCTTGTTGACCTGACATACTCATTGTAGGCGCGAACCTGTCTAACCAACACAGTGCACTTGTAAATGTACACCGACAACTGCTGGCAGACAGCACCACTAGGTTGTGTGTTGAAGGAACCACTTACATAGGTCAAAAGCTGTTACTCACTGAGAGGACAGTAGTTGGTTCACCTTTTCGGCTGATTGGCGACAAGTACCTGGAACCTAATCGTCTGTCAAATGACTGCCAGCAGTGTCATGCATCAAATCATAACTACAGGACAATCTGTGTCCACGGAAGAACGGCAACACGCTCCTGACAGACCACGACTAATCAAAAACTAATTCGATCGTATGCTTAGTCCTGGCACTGTTAAGCCACCAGATAGCCTGTTGACACTCCTATTTAACCTGTTGTCAAAAAAAGATTGGCAAACCACTGGCGAATACCATCGGCTGAGTGCCAGAATTGCCCAAGATTGCCGTCTGATGCCGCATAAATGACAGTACTATCTGGTGTAACTATTTTTTTCGGAAATGGACCTAGTTAAAGCTTAAAATTGAACCACAAGATATTCTCAGAGCTGCTATAATGATACCTCCAAGAATCCTCGAATCCATTCACATGTCATTTGGTCTCCGGAATGTGGTACAGACATTCCAACGCTTCACTGACGAGTTATTCCGCAGTCTCGATTTCATACACGCATACCGCCTCATCGCAAGTCTAGACAAGGAAAATTGGTGCTTGGACTTGGCATTCTGTAAAGTGCATCGAAATGGTGTTATCAATAATACCCAAAAACGCAGAATAAGGATGGGTTCATTAGGCTTTCTTGACCACACCAGTGACTGTAAAGGTATCCGCCTACTGGCGAGTAAAGTCGACGCAATTTAAAACCCTCTGTGGCCAACAGCTATGAAAAGTCCTCACACCATCAATGGCTTTTAAGGTTATTACCGGCGGTTCATGTCCAAGTGTGCCTCCGTAACCACCCTGCTGACGAACCTGATTCGAAGGGATCACAAGTGCTCCTTTGCATGCAATACTGTCGTTCATGTAGATGTCATTTGGGATGCCACTCTATTTATGCATCAGGATACAAAGGCACCCTTAAGTTTCTGAGTTGAAGCGTCTAACACTGCAGTCAGTGAAGTTTTATAACAACTAGTCAATGGGGACAGGTAACCATTTACCTTTTTCTCAAGGCTTCTACGAACAACAGAAACAAGGTACAGCATATTTGGTGGAGAACTGACTAAATGTGTCACACGCCGTTTCCGACACTCGGCGTAGGGTCATGCATTCACGAATTTCGTGGACCACAAAGCACTCTAAACTCAAATTTAGATAGGTATTCATTAAGAGAATCTCGCCGGCTAGATTAAATTCCCTAGCTTGAGTTAGATTTTCTCCAGTTATCCGGGATCAACAACACTATGGTAGGAGTCCTGCAGCGTATCTATTCCTCCGTTCAAATCAGTGGCGCAGACTTTGCGAAACAGGCTAGTCTTCGGAGGAAAATTCTGAGCCCCAACATGAACTGTCGAACAGGGGAGTAAAATACTGTGCTCGTACGTGTCTAGCGGCCGAAGGTAAGAAGTAGTAAGACATACCGAAAGCACCTTTGGCATTATTCTAACCTTCGAACACCCACTTCAACGATGTTCACATATATCTGGTTAGACGCCCTCCAGAATCTCATGGATATACACATATCTTGACCCGCATTGGGTACTACACTCGATGGCCTGAATCAGTACCCCTCAACAATGTACCTGCTGGAATAGTCACGCTCTCTTCTATGGGAAGGCAAGCTGAAAACTTTAGGTACCCTTCCCCCAAAACAACCAATCGTGGGTGGAAATTCGAAAGCAACCTATTCCTAGCCTTGATTAAACTCTTAGGCCTCATGCGTTTCAGAACAACAGTTCATCTTCAAGCCAATATTATGGTAGTACATTTTCGCCGATAGATGAGGGTTGAGTTGTCAACCTGAAACATTGCTGGATGGACTGAATCACTACCCTTACTCCTTCTCAAAATAAGAGATGGGTTAAAAATGGACGCTAGCTGTTCTGATGTTGAGCTAGCATATTGAGCAATACTACAACTGCCAGATGAGTTTGTTTCACCTCCATCTTTTCACCAGCTGCAGATCATGGCTTGTACATCGGCAGCCTGACAGTTTCAGGGCGCCCAGTCAGGCCCATTCCCCTCCAACCGCAGTCCATAGACGCTCTTGTTTACCGATACTTAAAGGCTTCTTCACAAGTATTTGTTCGTCCTGACTATGTGCGTTACCTGCTGGAAGATCCATACGATTAGCCACCTGAAGTTACTAAACATATGAACAAATTCTTCATTCTAGACAGAAAGCTGCAAAATATCTGTTACTATTGATCGTCTGAAACCATCCCACTTTGATGGCGATCTTATGAGCACTAAACCAGTCGTTCCGAATGGTACACAGTTGAATGAATACCCACCAGTCTTCGAAGAAAAAACCCACACCACAGAGGCGAATGAAACCTCAAATGAGACTCAAAGATAAACACATTCTGGACGAACCGTGAAATTCCCTGAGCACGTTCATACTTATCTCATAGGCTCATACGAACATACCCCACTTTTTTCTTAAAGGATTAACCTATTCTGCCCATGGTACTTTCTTCTATGCGTACAGACTATCTTTCACTGCATCCCGCATTATAAACTAAACACACTTCTTGTGACTACATATAGCACATCAAATGCTTCAAATTTGTTGTAGGTGTTCCACTCGCTGCATCTGTCCCGATTTGACCGTTATTTTGGTAAGATGTTTTCGACGAAGTCCCTAATATTCCTGTTTTTCCAGGGGAGACGGGCACTGGACAAGAAGCGAACGCAGCACGTGATCCAACGCATGAACATCAATGAAGCAATATATATCTATCATATTAGCATGGACGGATGACAAGTAGGCAACTCAGTTCCATCATACCCATCGGAAGCTTCTTAATTCTGGTTGGCTTCGCCCAAGTGCTCTCATAACACCACTAGGGGACAGGAGTCAACTGTGACTGCGAATAAGTCTCCAAAATTATTAGCCCCAAGGAAGACATTTAGTTAGGCTGCTTGAATGAATTTTAACTAGTTTCCAGTCGATTTTGACTAGAAATAATGCTCACGATTGATGTGTGACTATCAATCCTGCTAGACCTGGGCGCTAGTCACGCTACTTGCTGATTCTTTGGCTTGGCCCACCTAACCTGGTGGCCAGAATACCCGTAGCACCTCCTCAAGTGGCGAAAGGAGAATATGATAGTCACGGCAGCCGAAAGGTGTATTTATTGATGATAATTTGAAGAGAGTGTACAAGTAGACTATCACACCAGAACGAAGCTGCCGAGCTCTCTTTCCTTGAAAATTACATTTCCATCGTGAGTTTTGACACTCAAGGATAAACAAGCTGGTCGTTGACGGTGGAACGACTGAGGTTCAATTGAGTTGAGGAA